GAATAAATACTTCTCAGAAGAAGTACAAATGGCCAAAAAATACACGAAAAAAATGTTCAATATCTCTGGCCATTAGAAAAATGAAAATTAAAAGAACACTAAGATTTCACCTCACTCCAAAAAGAATGACTAATCTCAAGAAAGGGAAAGATAACAAATGCTCGACAGGCTGCAAGGAAAAAGGAACCCTTCCACGTTGTGGGTGGGAGTGTAGGCTGGTACAACCACCATGGAGATCGGCATGACTATTACTCAAAAAACTAAAAGCAGATATTCCGTTCGACCCAGCTATTCCCCTACTAGATATCCTCCTGCAAGGGTTCAAAGACATCATATCACAGTCATACGGACACATTCATGCTTACAGTAGCACAGCTCAGCATAGTCAAATTGTGGAAGCAGCCTACATGCCTCTTAGCAGGTGGATACATACAGAAAATGTATTTTTACACAGTGGAGTACTACTCTGCAATGTAGAATGATAAACTTTAGTCATTTGTAGGAAAAGGGATGAACCATGAGGCCATAATGTTATGTGAAACAAATCAGACACACATTTAACTATCATATGGCTTCTTTCACAATGAAAAACCCAAATTATAAACACAGAGCAAAATAAAAGATGATAGGAAGTAGGGCACTAGATCTTTTGCAAAAGGGAGGGGAACCAAGAAATCGGGGGAAGGGGAGAGGAGAAGGAAACAAGAAAGAAAGAATTAAGATGTGTTATGTACATGCAGCAACTCCCCCCAGGAACGTAATCATTATGCACTGTAAATATGTATCAGTAAAAATGTACTTATATTTATTTATTTATTTATTTTAGGTTTTTTTCAGACAGGGACCCACTATGTAGCCCAGGCTGGCCTCAAGCTCATGGCAATCCTCCTGCCTCAGCCTCCTGAGTTGCTGGGATTACAAGTGTGCTCCACCTCATCTGGAAATAAACATTGTAAAAAATAAAACTTACAGGGTTCGTTGTCTTTTACAGTGACATACTTTGATTCCCTTCTCATTGCCTCTGTTCCCAGGGAGTTTTTGTTGTTGTTGAAAGTTTTTGTTTCTTGGTTGTAGGTTTCCATTTTTTAAAAAACAAATATTATTTTGAGGGCCAGGGACTTAGCTCAGTGGTTCCACTGCCTGCCTGCCAAGTGCAAGGTCCCAAGTTTGACCCCCGACACCCCCCAAAATAAATTAAAAATAAATAAATAAATATTCTTTTGAGAACAGTTTAGATTCATAGAAAAACTGAACTGAACATACAGAGATTTTCACATGCCTTCCCCAACAGACGCATAACTTCTCTCACCACTGACCTGCAGCAGCCAGTGAATTTCCTAAAGCCAACAAACCAACATTGACACACAATTTCCACCTGCACAGCACAGTTTACTCTTGCTGTTCACTCTTGCTGTTGTACCAAACACAAAAACTCATAAGCTAGACATGGTGCTGCACACCTGCAGTCCCAGCACTCAGGAGGCTGAGGCAGGAGGATCCCTGTTAAGTTGGAGGCCAGCCTGGGCTACACGGTGAGTTCAAGGTCAGCCTGATCTACACTGCAAGACACTGTCTCAAAAAACCAAAACCAAAATCAAACAGAAAAAAACCACCAGAGCTTTTGTTTTTTGTTTTTTTTTGTTTTGTTTTTTGTTTTTGTACTGAATTTAGGATCTTGCACTTTGGAGGCAGGCGGAAGCACCACTGAGCTACATCCTCAAAGCTTTTGGTTTTGACAGAAGCGCAATGAGATGTATCCACCGTTGTACTATTACCGCAGACTCATCCCGCCGGCTTGCCCCTCCTCCCGCCAGCCTTTGGGCCCCACCAGCCTGCTGTGCACACAGTAATACCTTTAGCTGAATGTCAGGCAGTGTAAGGACACAGGAAGTGACTGCAAAGACTGGCCCTGTGCGCACTGAAGTTTTCTGTGTCCTTCGTATCTCGCTCGCTCTTTTCTTTTCAACATTGAGTACTATTCCATTTCCTTTTTTAAGGGAAAAAGAATTCATTGTATTTCTTTATCTCGCTCGCTCTTTTCTTTTCAACATTGAGTACTATTCCATTTCCTTTTTTAAGGGAAAAAGAATTCATTTTATTTCTTTTCAGCATTTTTTTTTTTTTTGGTACCAAGGATCGAACTCAGGTCCTTGCGCTTGCAAGGCAGGTGTTGAGCTAAGCACTGAGCTAAATCCCCAGGCCCTATTCATTTTATTTCTTAAACGACTACCTATTTAAATCATAAACATTTTCACACATCCTATGACTATAGAAACTGCGCTTCTATAATCATTAAAGATTAAGAATCTTAGGAAAATCTCACTTGACCACTTGTAAAGAAATTAATGGCTGATCAGAAAACATTAAACTGCTATTAATATTATTAATTACTGTCCATTTTCTGGATGCATCAATTCACCCGCTAATGGACCACTTGGTTGCTTCTGAGAATTGGTGATCTCAAGTAAGCACTGCTATGAGCGCCCTTGTGTGGGGTTTGGTGTGGATGGAAGATGATCTGGCTAAATACTACCAAGAGGTATAATTGCTGAGCTGTGATGGTGCTGGAGAGGTAGTGATTAGGGCCCCAGACTCGGGTGCTAAAGTCCTACCTCCCTCTCCGATGGCATCTGAGAGGCCTGGGAGCTGATCAGGCCCTGCAGGAAGCTGCTGTCCTCGTCTATCTGTGCTGCGATAGCAACAGAACATGGAATGAGTTGATCCGTTCTTCCTTTTTCTTCTTTGGGGACGGCATCTCACTATGCAGCCCAGGCTGGCCTCAAACTTGTGCAATCTTCCTGCCTCAGCCTCCCAGGTGCTGGGATGATAGGCGTGCACTACCATACCTAGGTTCTCCTCAATTTCTGGACAGTATATTTTATAGGACAAAAAGTTGTTAACCATTTTTTGTTTGTTCGTTTAGTTTTTTGAGACAAGGTCTTCCTATTAGTCCAGGCTGGCCCCCAACTCAACAGGGATCCTTCTGCCTCAGCCTCCTGAGTGCTGGGATTGCAGGTGTGCACTACCATGCCCGGCCAGAAGTTGTTATCTTTTAATGTCCAGTTTATTGATTATTTCTTTCATCAATCATTCCCTTCATGTTGTATCTAAGATCACCCACCCTATGTCCCACTACCCCGGGATTTCCCCACCCGCAGGTGGGACAGCCCGGGAAAGGGAGCGCAGGTTGAGCACTGTTCTGCCCCCCACGGGAGACTGGAGCTCCCTGGAATTGCTGTTTCCCTTCCCTAGGTCAGTTAGGGGCTGATAGAGATCCCAGAAGCTAAACATTTTCCTCTCGAGGACAGGTTTGCTAAGAACAAAATGCTTCTGTGTGGGCAACTGTTCGGGAGGTACCTGGCTCCCGGGAGCCATTTCCATTCCTCTCTTATTCCCCAGTCCTGTTCCCTCACAAACTTTCCTGCTTTTAAAAAATGCTCATTTCAAAATAATTACTTTTCCCCCCTCCCCTTGCGAGAAGCCAGAGCATTGTGTCTGATTCTTACTGCAAGAACCTGGGGACCCCCTGTGACGGCCCCTATAGTTTATTCTGTTGTTTGTTCACACAAGGACTTGCTAAGCAGTTCAGGTTGGTCTTCAACTCACTATGAAAACTGAGCCGGCCTGGAACTTGGGATGACCCTCCTGCCTCAGCCTCCTGCCCGTGTGCTGGGACTACAGTCTCATTCTCTTCCAGTCTGCAAGATTTCTGCTGAGAATTCCACCAGTAATCAGCTACATGCTCCCATCTGGGTGACAAATCAATTTTCTTTGGCTGCTTTCTTTGCTGCTCTCTTTATCTGTGACTTTTCTTTCCTGTGTTTTTTTTTTAATCAAGGCCTCACTGTGTAGCTCAGGCTGACCTGGAACTTGCAAGCCTCCTGTCTCAGCCAGCTGTCACAGTTTCTTTATAATGTGTCTCCACGTGCACCTTCTTGGATTTACATGTTCGTTTCTACCTTCAAAACTGGGGAAGGGTGGGTCATAAATTCCTCCTATGATCGCTCTACCCCTTTCCCCTCTTCCTTTCAGACCTCCATAACAAATCCGAGGTCGGCCTGCTGACCCGAGGCTCTATCCACTTCTCCTCATCTGTTTCGCTCATCTGAGCCAGAGCCTCCGCGTGACCTCCTGCAGGGTTACAGACCCTTCCTCTGCCTCCCTGTAGTGATTTTCAATTTAGTCTTCAGTTCCAGAATTTCTGTTTGGTCCTTTCCTTTGTAGTTTCTTTCTGTGGATATTATGATTTTATTCTGGAATCATTTTCTGGACTTCCCTTAATTTTCTGTGTTCTCCTTTAGCTCACTGAGTTTCTTTAAGATAATCATTTTAAATTCTTTGTTGGCTAGTTCATAGATCCTATTTTCTCAATTCTTTGGGAGTTTTCTTTTTTTATATTCTCTGTTTCTGTCTGTCTGTCTCTCTGTGACTCTTTCTGTCTGTCTCTCTGCCTTTCTGTGGATCTCACCAAGGTGCCCTAGTGGACCTCAAGCTTGTCACCCTCCTGCCTCAGCCTCCCTCAGTGCTGGGATTACCATGTGTGCCAACACACCCGCTCATGTTGCCCTGCTTCTTTGTTTGCCTGTGCTGTTTTGCCGAGATCTGGGCGCTTGGAAAGAACAGCTGTCTCTATCTTGACCCCTGGTTTCACAGAGTTAGACTTCCCCAGCCCGCCCTAGAGACCCTGCCCCTCTTAAACCCTTTTTGCGGACGCCGCTTGCCGGGCTCTGTCAGCGTAGTTTCCCATCTGCCCATTTCTTGTCTGAGCACGAAGCCTCTGGCTCCCTCTGGCGTCTGCGCGCGGTACTTCAGTCTCCCTGGTGGTGACTGCTGCAACCCTCACCTCTGTTTTTGGGTTTTCTTGTCTGTTGGAGACGGGGTCTGTCTTTGTAGTTCAGGCTGGCCTCGCACTCACTAAGTAGCCCAGCCCTGCCTCTGCCTCTGCCTCCCAAGTGCTGGGATTACAGGCCTGCCCCACCGCGCCAGGCTCTAGTGCTCACCTCTTTTTCAACGTCCCTCCACCTGACGACCCGACGGGGCTGCTGGTTCTCAAGAAGGACCCAGGCCTGTGCAGCTCCTCACCCCGCTTCCCCTGCCCCTCTGAGGGCGAAGCCGGGCGCCCACATCTCTCGGGGGCGTCGGGAGGCCCCTGTGCGCATGCGCTCGGGGCTGGCGCTGCAGCTCCGCCCCGCCCCGTCTCGGGGACCCCCACCCTCCAGAACTTTCTTTTCAATGCAATGCAACGTTAGGGAGTTTTTTGAACTGGGCGTATTTTGCTAGCTTTTCTACAACTGAAAACTTACTTAACTATTTCAATTGCCAGTAAATAACGGAATTGGGATATTATCATTCAAGCTCGTAATAACAATACATCACTGTGCTGTTGTTTGGGGACGCCCTCCCCCAACTGAGCTACGTCCCCAACCCTTTTTAATTTCTTATTTATTTTTGCTAGTCACTAAATTGCCCAGGCTGGGTCCGAGTTTAAAATCTTCCTGCCTCAGCCTCGCCGAATGCTAGGATTACAGGCATGTGCCACCATGCCTGGCAGAAGTCATGGTTTTAATACTAAATAAGCAGTGTGCAAATTGTCTTTTTGTCCTCGGCCTGGTTTTTGTCACTGATGTTGTTTTTCACTCATGAACGCTTATGAGAGCAGATTTGTGATCCGGGCGGTCTATGTGCCTCTCCAAGCTCAGCCGCTTACAATATTGGCTGGCTGTTCAGACAGGCACAGTTGAATCACATCTCTTAGGGGGCTGTTTGAGGATTAAATTATTTCCTTAGGGCAGTGCCTGGCTAAGAATGAATGCTAATGTATTTGCTATAGTTCATGATTCTTATAGAAAAACTTTTTTATCTGAATATGAATCAAAAATTGTTAACTCGGGAAAAATTGGGAATTTATTAAAGCCATTTTATTCTCTAACGAATCCTTGATGTTCCACTTCTATTATCAGAGCATAATAGTATAAATGCAAGTGTGAGACAGATGTGTTACTTAGACATATTTTATGTAAGCTTTTTTTTTTAGTCAATCTGGCCTTGAATTTGTAACGATCCTCCTTCCTCAGCCTCCCCAGTGCTGGGATTACTGGCATTCACCACCACACCTGGCTATTTATTTTTTAAAGGCAGTGTCTCACTGAGTTTCCCAGCCTGGCCTTGAAGTGATGATCCTCCTGCCTCAGCTTCCCAAGTAGTTAGGATTACAAGCATGCACCATTGTGCCAGATAATTTTTATTGATGTAACTTGGAGAGAGCCTTAGATTGAGGGCAGTGGTACACTTCTAAAACACCCTACAGCTGGGCATGGCAGTGCACACCTGTAATCCCAGCACTCAGGAGGCTGAGGCAGGAGGATCACCATGAGTTTGAGGCCAGCCTAAACTACACAGTGAGACTCTGTCTCAAAAAACCAAAAAACAAATAAAGTACCCTATGGTGCTCAGGACAGGGCCCCAGCTGAGAATATTAACAGTGCCAAGGTCAAGAAACCCTGGTGTGTATGTGTGTTTGTGTACATGATTTCTGTATCAAGTGTAAAAAAATGATTGTTTGGCAGTCCTGGGCCTTGAACCCAAGGCCTTTTACTGAGCTGCACCCACCAGGGCTGCACTCCCATCGCCCCCCTCGCTAAAATTGCTGTTGCTGAGCTCAAATTTTTTTATCAGTACTGGAAATCGAACTCAGGACCTTGTGCCCAAGGCAGGCACAGCACTGCTGAGCTACATTCCTGGCCCTGGACTTGAATTTTCAGTCCTCCATCCCCCAGAGAAGAATTAGGTGTTAGATGATAGCCTCAGTCCTTAGGAAAGCATTCTACCCCTGACTGCGTGCTCAGCCCCTTTTAATTTATCTTTGGCACAGGTTCTTTCCACCTTGCTCCGGCTGGCCTTGAATTTGTGCTCCTCCTGCCTCAGCTTCCTGAGTAGCTGAGCTGGGAGGCATGCGCTCCATGCTCACCACGCGGCGCCAGCGAGCCTCACCGAGGTCCCCCGCGCGTCCCTCACCGAGCAGCCCTCCTCTGCCAGGCTCCTGCTCACAGACACCATCCCACCCATCCTACTGTAGCGCCCCCAGAGAGAAGGGAGCATTAACTTTTGCCCTAAGCGAGGCTGTTTCCGAGTTGGGTGTTTTCCGTTAAAAGGGGGAAATCGGTTGCTGACTGACTTAATGCAAGACACAAGCGTAAATGAAATCAGCGAAAGAGGCCCATTGTTGGCTTGGGGTCGTCAGCAAAGGTCCGAGCTGTCACCCTGGGCTTTCCCCTCCTTTCGTCCCCAGGGCGCTGCTGTTTCAGCCCCGGCTTGGGGTTCTGTCCATGGTCTCATCCGGGCCTGGGCCGTGCTGTCGCCTTCTGCAGACCCAGGGACGTCAGAGTTTTCACCTCCGTTGCGCTTAGAGCCCGGGCCCCACAGTAAGTACCTCCCAAGGGCCAGGCCTTCCTCCTCCAAGGGTCTTTATTACAGCATGGAAAGAAAGGAATGTTCACGGAAGATTGTATTTTACCTTTTGCTGCTCTGGGGAAGGAGGACAGCTTCACTTAGACAGGAGAGAGCAGCAGATTAGGGTTTGTAAAACAGCAGGTTCGGTGTGGGAAGTTATAACGACGCGCTGGGTGTCGCTTAAGTAATGGGCACTACTCACTGCCCCCCCACGTCTTGCTTTTTCCTGCCACTACCCCTATATATTTATATGCACTGTCGCTGGGGATCGAACCCGGGGCCCAGCGTGCGCTGAGTCCGTGTGCTCTAAGCCGCCACAGTGTAACGATTTTTATTTAGGTCAGTGAGGAGCGGGTGAGGCCTCTTGCAGTTGAAGCACAAGAATGGACGGTACACACGCAGTCTGAGACGAGGGAGACGTTTTTTTAGCAGGAGAGGACCCACGAGGGGACTGCAGGGATCCACCTCCCGACAGGTGCGGTGTGAGTGGCCGGCGGCTTCCCGGCCCTGCAGTGAGGCAGCGGAGAATCCCGGTGAGGACACACTTGACTCCCAGTAGATGCAGCAACAGGGCTGGGCCTGCAGAAAGGCCTTGGTGGTACATCGGTAACTTCTCATACTCGGAGCGAAACAAACAGTGAAGATTATGCTCTGGCTCAGTGTTGTTATATAAATGTTTCGCCATATTTTATACATACACATATATATATAGTATTTACTTTTTTGAAACAGATCTTCCTTTGTTGCTGGGGTTTTTGTTTTGTTTTGTTCATTTGACACTTGCTGTGTCACCAGAAAGACACCCCCACCCCCGACTAAAGGCCTGAAAAGGGAGCTTTCCTTTGTTCCATCGCACGGTCTTTTAGAAAGGATCCGCCTGAGTCAGGGAGCACCAGCGAATCTGCCTGATTCCCATTTGCTCTCTCTTATCCTGTGAGAATTCTGCAGCACTTGTGCTGTTCAGCTTCTTAGATTCCATGAAATGTGAGTTTTTGTCACATGAAACAGAAAAGGGCTTCCCTTCCCCAAAGAGGATGAGTCTGGTTTGGATGTTGATCCGCCATAACGGAGTTGGGCAGCTGTGGGTTCACTGGGTCGCTCTGCTCTCTGTAGACTGTACCTGAGCGGCCCTGACGACTTCTGTACTCTGTCACCAGAGGAGTGCCATGGACTCCTAAAGCCCTGCCAGGGCTCTGCTCTCCCTGGCGCTGCCTTTGTGTGAATCCTGCTTGCGCTGTTCCCAAGGAAACTCCAGTGGAATTAAGCTTCGAAGATGTAAAAAGAGGTCAGGAAGCACAGACTCTGCCCGGGACTCCCGAGACCATCTGGGAGTCACTCGCCGAGACGCCGCCCTCCCTAAGAGCTGACTTTTGTCCCTGTCGTGTGTTAAAGAGTTGTCTGCCTGGGGGACACCGGTTCCTCCCTCAGTCGGTGCGGTCTCTGCCCGCTGGGCAGGCGAGCACAGGTCCCTGAGGCTCTGAGAACAGGTGTGCGTCCCGGGGGGACCTTTGGTTCTCTCCGGCCACCTGCCCTGTCTCCCGCTCCCGGGACCGCGGGAGAGTCTGCAACGGAGCACAGAGGACATAAAGAGACGAAAAGCCGGAGGTGGGCTCTGGATGGAAACCCCATTGGGAAGATAAAGAGGAGAAGGACGAGAGAAAGAATCTGAGCAGGAATGTCGAGCAAGGGAGGATGAGAGCGCATCGTGCTGAGGAAACCGAGGGAAGGGAGAATGGAAAGAAAAGGAAACCGGGAGCAGTGGCAAATCTCTAAATGATCTACACCACTCCTGACCCTTGATGAGCAACCACCAGCGTGGCGCACTGCTCTCCTTGCCCACTCCCGATCTGTAGTTCCCTGTTTATTTATTTATTTTTTTGGTAGCGGGGATCAAACTTGGGTCCTTGTGCTTGTGAGCCAGGTGCCGGAACCGCTGAGCTAAATCCCTGGCCTAATAGTCTTTGGGTGTGTGTGTGTGTGGGGTGTGTGTGTGCGTGTGTGTGTATGTGGTACCAGGGATCGAACACGGGCCCTTGTGCTTGCAAGGCAGGCAGTGGAACCACTGAGCCAAATCCCTGGCCCTGTATTTCCCTGTTTCTGACCTCAGAATGCATGGTCTCTCTTAGAATGGTTTGATTTTAGCGACCCCAACCCTGTATTAATCTACTGTGCCTGAACAGGATGAAGGACCCTGTCAAGGCAGATCAGCAGCGAGGGGCCGAGTGCTGCTCCCCAGAAGAAGCTGACCGTGACTGTGTGGCCAGGAACGCAAGGAAGGCGGTTAGAGGACGTGCGGCCTCAGGAAGAGGAAGCTGGGCCTCACAGATCTATGAGGGCCTTGTAGGAGGCCCGTGTGTGCATGTGTACGAAAGCTCATGAATGGCCTCTATTCAGATTTCCACAAAGCCTCTCAGAGAGTTCTGCACAAAAGATCATTTGAAAATCAAGACACCGTGGTCGGAAGGGGCCGGGTGTAGTGCAGGGATGTTGCTTAGAGACAGGAAACAATGGGTGAAGGTGAAAGGCCTCTGGGAGGAGACGTGTGAACACTGGGCTCTCCTGGACCATCCCTTGGTAGGATTTTTATGACTTATGTGGAGGAGGGAAAGAAAAACGACAGTGAGCGTTTACGCTTCTGCGAAGCCCAGGGCTGTGGGGCTAACCTGGAGTGCATGAGGCTTCAGGACAGGCAGGA